ATGTTGACCAGGATGGTCTCGATCTCTTGACCTCGTGATCCACCTGCCTCAGCCTCCCAAAGTGCTGGGATTACAGGCTTGAGCCACCGCGCCCGGCTGGAATACTGATTCTTTATTATTTCTTTGGCATATGCAATCAGCTTTTTGCCCTTAATTTTTTTTTTTTTTTTTTAATTTTTAAAAAAATTGTGGTAAAATACATATAGGATTTACCTTTTTTGGCCAGGCACGGTGGTTCACACCTGTAATCCCAGGACTTTGGGAAGCCGAGGTGGGTGGATCACCTGAGGTCAGGAGTTCAAGACCAGCCTGACCAATATGGTGAAACCCCATCTTTACTAAAAATATAAAAATTAGCCTGGTGTGGTGGTATCTGCCTGTGGTCCCAGCTACTCAGGAGGCTGAGATGGGAGAATTGCTTGAACCTAGGAGGTGGAGGTTGCAATGAGCCAAGGTCATGCCATTGCACTCCAACTGGGCAACACAGCAAGACTCTGTCTCAAAAAAGATAAAGAAATAACTGATACTAGGTGATTTATCATGAAAAGAGGTTGAATTGGCACATGGTTTTGCAGGCTATACAGGAAGCATAGTGGCTTCTGTTGCTGTGGAGGCCTCAGGAAACTTACCATCATGGCGGAGGGTGAGGGGAGCAGGCATGTCTTACATGGCCTGAGCAGGGGGAAGGTGGGGAAGGTGCTATATACTTAAACAACCAGATCTTGTGAGAACACAATCACAAGAACCACACTAAGGGGATGGTGCTAAACCATTCATGAGAAATCACCCCCATGATCCAATCACCTCCCACCAGGCCCCACCTCTAACACTGGGGATTACAATTTGACATGAGGTTTGGGTGGGAACACAGATCCAGACCATATCAGTCCTCGAATAATTTTTTTTTGTAATTATATTGCTCTTTGAAATCAAAAAAGTCTGGGAATCATTGTCCTAACACCAGTCCCAGAGGTCTGCTAATTCCTGAGTTGCCTGGAATCCTTTAGCATGTATTGTATCAGATCTGAATTCAGGGAAAGATGATGCCATTTCCACCCTGAGAACCCAGGTATTTGGGAATGATACCTGGAGGCAAAGACCTGAAGGGGAAGCATCAGTCAAGAGAATCCTCGCTACCTTCTGCCCCAGCTGTCATTCTTGACCCCAAGAGCAATGATTGGAAAGTAAATGCCCTACTTCAGCCTCGTTCTTGACACCGACAGATAATTTTGGAATATTTGAAGTTGCGTGAATTTCTTCAGGCAGCTAATAATAATGTAGTCTTACTAACTGCCACAGGGTGCAGCTAATGTTCTGGAATGAATAAAGCAGTAAAGGAGAGCAGTCGATGAGCTTTTAGACCCAATTCTTTAGATTCGTTCACCATGTTTCTTCCTTCTCCAATAAGATTTGTTGTGTTTGTGATGCAGGTTATATCGCTGGATTTGTAGACTTGGAGGTGAGCAATAGACCAGACCTCTATGATGTGTTTGTGAATCTGGTAGAGAGTGAGATTACCATTGCTCCCCTTGCAAAAGGTTTGTTCTCTGTTCTGTTCTTGGTACAAGATATAAGCCAAACAGTTGTACATTTTTAGGCTGATTCTCTAAAACCAGTATTTGAGGGCTGGCTTACCCACTCTGCTGAAGGGGGCATATTTCTATGTCTGGAACACAGCATTTATTCTTACAGATGGACATGTTAGAAGAACACACCGGGTGCCTATGCAGCAAAGTATATGCTAAGAAGTTAATCTATTCATCTTGTTTCACTACTTTTGTTCTTAAACAAGGTGTGTTATCTATTGCTACATAACAGATCACTTCAGAACTTAGTGGTTTCTTTTTTTTTTTTTTTTTTTTTAAGGCAGAGTTTCGCTCGGTTGGAGTGCAATAGCATGATTTCAGCTCACGGTAACCTCCGTTCCTGGGTTCAAGTGATTCTCCTGCCTGTGTAGTGCGCCACCACACCCGGCTAATTTTACATTTTTAGTAGTAAGGGCTTTCTCCATGTTGGTCAGGCTGATGTTGAACTCTTGACCTCAGGTGATCCACCCACCTCAGTCTCCCAGAGTGCTGGGATTACAGTCATGAGCCACCTTGCTGGCCTGTGGTTTAGTTTCTTAATTTTGAAATGTCTCTGAGTCATAGAGAACTTAGTGGTTTAAAACAACAAATATTCCTTTCTTTTCTTTTTTTTTTTTTTTTTTTTTTTTTTT